AGTGTTATTAATGGAATTTCAGACTTTCAAATTGTTAGTACAACACCCCTTTCATTACAGAACAGAACGGAACAGCAAAACCACCTCGAGAGAATTTACCAAAAGAAAAAAAAACCACCTCGAGAGTCTTAATTTTTTTTATTAATTTTTCAGTATACAATAATCACATTGAATCTTAATTAATTCAAAATTGATCCGCATCAAATCTTATTAAGGGAAAGCTTTTCTAGTGCTTATTTTTTCATTTACAATAGTCAAACTCGAGATTTTATTTCAGCGAAATTAAATTTTTTCTATTTGAATAAAAAAATCATTAGTTAGAGTTTCAATTCTTTATAAGGAGGAACTCCGTCAAGTGGCCCAATGGTCGCGTGTTTCGTTGAGGTTAGTGGGTTGTTCACCATATATGAGAATCGAATTTTCAATTACTAACATCTAATAATACTAACGTATTAACCATTACTCTTATAAAAAAAAATTCCTTTCTAAGGAGGAAAATTAAAAATAAAAAGTTGATTTTAGACAGCTGTTTCTACCATTATTACAACAAACTGTTACATAAGCGAACATGTCATGTCGGGAAGTTGCATCAGATTTGATAAATTGAAAACGAAATTCCTAATATTCTAGTTATGGGAAAAGGTTTAAAGTCTTTAAAGGAGTTTTATTGGTTACATATTGTCAGAAATTTCTGTACATAGGGTGGATCCACTGTGGGATCCAAACCATAAAGGCCCCAAATTGACTCCAAGTTTATTTACTGGTTACATGCTCAGAAATTCTGTACATGGATCCACTGTGGGGTCCAAACAATCAGGGGGTTATTGGTTTTTACTCTCATAAGCCGGACTACTTGCACTTTCAACTGAAGAAGATATATATTACTATATAATTTATTTTTTAAATATTTATCTATAATATTATAAATATTTATTAATAATATATTATATTTATTTTTTTAATTTAAAAAAAATTTTCGAGATGGAAAAATAATGATTAAATATTAAATTGAGACTTCACATATTAACATTTTTAATGCTTCATTAAAAAAAATCATTTAACTGTTTAATATTAAATAATAATATATTATATTTATTAATACCACAACATACCATTAATATTTAACGATACTCACAAGTTACTCTCCACGGCCAGACACGACAATTCAACTTGTTTTTACTAACTAATTTATTCCTGACATTTTTTTTTATTTTTTATTTTTTGGTTTTTGGTTTTCTGGATGATTGCTTGGGATCTAATCAAATGATCCCAGTAGAAGCAACTCCAGATTCCAAGGGCAGATCTTGGGGGTATTGGAAATAAATAAAAAACAGATGTAATAGGAATGGGTGTGCAGTGTATAGACTTTCTTCAACAGCTCCTCTCTTTACAGGTCTCAACCAAAGGAGGCAACTTTAGAGAAGCCATTCCAATCCATTTGGACCCATGAAGGCCTGGGTTCTTAGGTGGCTCCATGATGACGATTATGAGTTCAAAGTGATGATCTTGATTGCTAGCTCGATTTGTCTGCACAAAGTGCTACTCACCACCCATTTTAGCCTCCCTGAATCTGGTAAAATATGTACTTTCCATTTTTCCAAATGCACACTATCTAAATATCTTGTGTTTTTATGGGAAGGAATGGTTGTTTATCTTCTTGGGTTTTTTTGTTAGAATTGAATATAGACAACTGGGTTTGTTTTTACGGGGGGTTTTTGGATGCTGTGATTTTGGTCAATAATTGTGTTTTCTTGCACTTTAATGGAGGTTTAATAGCATAAAACGACAGGATAATGTGGTCCATGGTAGTTCTTGTGTTTTGTATGTTGATCCTATCGAAGATATTGACTCAAAAATTAATTTGTTAAAGGGGTTGGTAGGAGTTGTAATCCACATTTTTTCTTCGGCCAAGTTGCAATCAACATTTCAAAATATCCTTTTCACATGGTTCTAAATAATTAAAGATGATAGACAAAAAAAAATGTACTCTTCTATGATAACTGAATGCTTTTTAGAAATATTACTTTTTAACACTTACAGAGAAGAAAAGTATGCTTTGAGGGAGACTTTTTTGTCAATTATTTTAAGTTTTGCTGTTTCAAACAATGAATTTATGGCTAAGAGACAGGTAAGAACACCCTGGAAATCATACAGTATTCTATTGACTAGATATATTTATTTTCTTCTTCCTGCTCTTTTTCCTTGTTGGTAATGGTGACAAAACCCCCAGGAATCTGGTACTTTTGCTTCCCATATCATCAGTGATGGGCGGAGTTGAAGAAGAAAAATATAGAAAAGTCTAGCGAGGAGAGAAAAGTAGAGCATGTGGGGTTAGCTAGGGTCAGTCTTTCACTGAAAACCAGGAACAGCTTTCATGTTCTCTCTTCTATTCTGTTACAGTTCTGCCTTTCTTTAACAGAATTTGCAGTGTAATACACGTGTAAAAAGCTATGTTTTTGGCATCCCCTGGCCACTTATGATAGATAACTTTTAGAACACACAGGAAGTACAGCACTGCAGCTTCTCTGCAGTTGATTTTAGCTACCCCCAAATTCCCTCTGTAAACGAATCTATAGGTCTTTCCATGCTTCAATTCTTTCTCAAAAACTCTACTCTACTGGTTTGATTTGAAGAACCATTTCAACCTACCTTCAATTCCTGTAAGTTTTGTGTTGTATGCTCTTGAATTACACGATTCCATGATTTGTTAATTTCTTTATGCTAAGTCCTAAGTATGCTGGTATTGTTGTTTCCGTCGTTGGAATTCTTTCATGTGTACAATGATCGAACTAGATTGGTATATATTATGTTTCTGGACAGTACCATAGAATTTATTCCACATCTAATAGAATATCCTTTGGTTTAGAAATGTGAACTGTGTCAGACTTGCAATAGAATGTCTGGAGTTTGAGTTGTCTTGTTTTTCTCTCTAATTTCTTCTCCTAAGTTGATTTTGATTACATATTCCTATCAATCTTTCCGATAGGTGAAGAAGCAAGTTTCTGAGCAATGGATGTTAATGGGGTCTCTGGCTCATGTCTGATTGTCTCTAAAGAGAAGACCGATCGCTTGTATCCAATGTATTTTGGTGCTTCTTGTGCTTTTCTCGCCCTCAGACTCTTGAAAGGACCTGAAAAGGAAGATGAAAAATGGTCTGAATTACGTGAAAAAATGCTTCAAGGAAGTGCTCAACTTTTGGGATTGCTTGTGTGGAGAATCCAGAGAGAAGGAGAAACTGAGGCAAAGTGTCAGCTTCTCCAAAAGCTCAACGCTGCTGAAAAAGAGATTGAAGAGTTGAAGAAAAGAAGACATGAAGACGCAAAAGCGAATGAGAAAGTTGTTGGCATCTACGCATCCCAAGAACAGTGTTGGTTGAATGAAAGAAGGAACCTAAGGCAGCAAATCGGAGCTCTTATAAATGAATTGAGGGTTCTTGAGAAGAACAGAGATGAATCTATTGCTGAATTGGATAAGAAATTTCAGGAAATGGAGCTCTTGGTGCAGTCTAAGGACAAGGTAATTGAAGAATCGGAGCAGAATAGGAAGGAGCTAGAAGAAAAGCTAATGAAGTATGAAAGTGCTGCTGAAGAATTGAGGGAAACCGTAAAGCGGGAAGCACAGGAGCATTCTAATGAGATTTGGAAGCACAAAAGTGCCTTCATTGAGCTTGTCTCTAATCAACGGCGACTTGAAGCTGAGATGGGGCGTGCACTAAGGCAGGTTGAAGCTACAAAACTGGAGCTCAGTTCAGTTCTAGAGCAAAAGGAGGAATCAGTCTCGTTAGCTCAAAAACTATCCATTGAAATGACAAAGATGCATAAGGATTTGGAACAGAAAGACAAAATTTTGTCTGCAATGCTTAGGAAATCCAAGGTGGATAATGCGGAGAAACAAATGCTTTTGAAGGAGGTTAAAGTATCAAAGGCTAAGAAGAAGCAAGCTGAACTAGAAACTGAAATGTTGAAAGCAGTTTCTGGATCAAGGAATGAGAGACATTCATTAAAGAGTATGCTTGCTAGCCATGCCAATACAAAAATAGATTCTTCCTTTGGGGCAAAAGAAGTGTCACATGCCAGAAAACCCCAATCAAAGTCAACTGATCTTGTTTTCTCATTCAAGCCTCTGGGGTTAAAAAAGGATCCTGAAGCCTTTTCTCCTCTTTCTGATTGTTACTCTCCAGAAGGAATAGAGGAACTAGGTGAGAAAAAAATTCCTTTTACTCTTATAATTCAGCAGAAAGGATTTCTTGTTACAGAAAAACTTGGATAAGTTAATTTTCGTGGATGTGCTTCGTCTTGTTCACTGTTTATGATTCATTTTTAGTGCTCAAGTTAATAGCATCTATAATTTCTGTACTAGATCTCTTTTTCATATGTATTTTCATCCCCTTTCTGTTTTTATGTTTGAAGTAATGACAGATGATGTAAAAAGGCTGGAAGGATGGGTTCGCTCTGAAGCAGAAAAGTATGCAGCCGTAATTGAGAAGAGGCATCACTTGGAACTTGATGCTTTTTCTGAACAAATGAGAATGAAGGATGAAAAGTTAGAGGCTTTTCGCTGGCAGCTTCTGAGCATGGAACTAGAATCAAAGCGGCTGCAATCCTATGTTGAAGGACTGGACCAGGATTTATCACGGCTAAGACATGAGAATATGAAATTGGAAGCCTTGCTGCTGGAGCGAGAAGAAGAATTGAATTCCATGAAGGAGCAGTTTGCATCACAGTCAAAACCTATTTCTCAGAAGATCAAATTGTTATCTTCATCGCTTAATGATCCAGCATTGGTTACTCATGATGCTGTCTGGTCCAAAGACAAGAGTTTAAAGAGAAAACCAGTTGAGAAGGGGCAAGAAACAAAAACCACTTCACTGCAGATCTTTCGGGAGACACATCCTGAAAAGGAAGAGGAAACCTCATCTTGCAACCAGTCCAAAAATGACAAATTGATTGTCCAATCTCCTGAAAAAGAGTTTGAAGAAGAGAAAGAAGAGTCCAAACAGTGTCCAATTCAGAAGGAAAGCTTTTGTTCAGTGGAGGCTAATAATGTTGACAAGTTAGTATCATCTGGCCAGGATTTGTGCAAGACAAGTAATCCACTATGGAGGATGGATCTTCAAGCCCTTGGAGTTTCCTACAAGATCAAGAGGTTAAAGCAGCAACTGCTTTTGCTCGAAAGGTTAACAGGAAAGCAGGAAAGTGGAGAATATGTAGAAAGCAGCAATGGTGGATTGAAGGATTTTCTATTATTGATGTCTTTGCTAAATAAACAAGTGAGCAGGTATCAGTCCCTCCAAGGGAAGATTGATGATCTTTGTAAACGGATGGTAAGCTCAGTTCCTAATTCAGTACAATTTCAAGTCTTGAGCCTAGTTGATTTGCCTCAGAAGAAACCAAAATTTCATCATTATTTATTTTTACAAAATCTTGACAAATTCAAATTCTATAATCAAAAGTTTCAATGCCAACATCTGCATTGTGCATTGAAACCCAACGTTTCTTTTTCACATGTATATAATTTTTGGTTTGCTTATAAGTATTTTTTATTCATGATTCAGCAAGACAATAATCTGGACAGCAGTCATGGAGATTCTAGTACTACAAGAATGAAAGGAGATACCAAAACACTGGAGCATTTACTTGAGGAAACATTTCAGCTGCAGAGATATATGGTTGCAACTGGACAAAGATTGATGGAAATTCAATCCAAAATAGCTACTGGACTTGTTGGGGTTGAGCTTGATAAGTCTACCAACTTTGACATGAAGAGATTTTCCGATGGCATTAGATCGCTCTTTCAGGAAGTTCAAAGAGGTCTTGAAGTACGAATAGCTCGAATTATTGGAGACCTTGAAGGCCCCTTGGCTTGTGAGGGGATGATACATTTTAGGAGATAATAGTATGAGCTGTAAGATCAAAATGAAAGTACAAATAAGGGGTTAGGTGTCTTGCTGATATCTACTATATTCATATTTGTACAGACAAATTACTAAAGTGATATATAATTCAATAGGAATTACCTGAATTTTAAGAGATCTCAGTTACTTCATCATGATTTATGAATAACAGCTTCCGCACATATTTAAGATGATTACAAGCATTCAATCCTCATCAAGGGATAAGGTTCAGCCTCAAAAAAGCTCTTTTGGTTAATTGCCTACAAATTGGTTACATGTCAAAAGCCCATCTACCACGCAAAAACAGCAATTACTATTTTGATGCTACTGACTGAACAACTTTTTGTGTCAATTTGTCATCGTTACTCATACCACAAGTATGAGTAGGACCATTTGTTGACTTGAAACCAAAATTCGGATGTCGTTATTAAACTTATCACTCACTAAGTCACATCTAAGCTCTTAATCATAATTGCTTGTTATTATTGAGAATTTTGTGACTGGAGTGTTACCATAGATGGCTGGAGTACACTGCTCCTTGGTTTTGCAGATCAGGCTTGCATATGAGGCCAGAATTCAACTTGTATCATAAAATTATGTAGAAGGATCATAGAAAATCTGAAGTTCACCTGTAAAAACTCATTTTTTCTTCAGAACGTTCAAATGTAAAATTTCAGTTTCAAGTTCTCTATGGCTTAATATCAACGTTTAAAAAGGCCAACAGCACTTCAAAAAATGAAAAAATTTCTTTGATCCAACTTCAGCTTCCACAACAGAAATGCTGTTAAGGATTATAAATCAGAATTGGAAAGTTTAGCTCATATGGCTTGTGGGATCATGTTGGACTTGCAGCTGGTGGATGTCATGTTATTGCCATGGAAGAAAAAAGGAACACAAAATGTAACTATATAGAGGTTGTGTCGCTGTTGTAGTAGTAATAGCAAGTTTGAGGGGAGCCCAGAAAGAGTAATTAAAGGTCCTCCCTCTTGTCTACCTAGGACAGCTTTGCGTGTTTATTCAGTGGTCACTTTGAATATTCTTAATTTCATCCTCATCTACTCTCCATTTCTGCATCATGTTCCAATTGTATATGGTTGTTGTGTCGGAGTCCCTGCAGGCATCATGTCTGAAGGTGAAATATTATTAATTTTTCTTATAAACAAAGACTATAGATTTTTTTTTTTTTTCAGTTTATGGTTTGGGTAATATTCTCTCATTTATTTTCTCATATTTCAAAATTATTCTTTTATGAGTAATTTTAAAGATACATCCCATATATCTACCTAATTCATTTAAGAAAATTATTTTTTTAAATGTTAATCTTAAAATTTAAACCTTAAACATAATTCTAATATATAAAACGAACATTTAATTATTAATACATCCAACTTGGTGTTAGGATAATGAACTGAATTCTTGGTTCATCATATATCTATATATAATACGTTCTCTGAGTAGTTTAAACCATCCAAACATGTCGTCTTCTGACATGATATATACCAAGATTAAGTTGAGATTTTCACGCAGCTACCATATATATTGGCAGGACTTGAATAGAACCCTTAACTTCTAAGTTACACTTCCTGGAAGTCCTTTTTTGTCCGTCACCCACACTGGAAGTTTGATTCAACCATTCAGGACAGGATTAGTTGGTATTTTGATTAATTTTTTGCAATGCATTATTGACTGAAAGTTGAAAAACCTTCTCATTGCTAACTGACCTTAACTAAAATGGAATAATTAATATATCAATAAAAAATGTGGACCATATATATTACAACTAAAAGATTTCTAATATCTTCCATAAAAAACAAAAAATCTTAATATCTATTAAATATATGAATCTAAATCATTAAGTAATGTGCTCAGTACTAGAAAACAACATTTAAACGATAAGAATATAATCAACAATTAAAAAGTTATCGATTATATTTTTATAATCAATAAAAATTATGTTAATTATATTAATGAGTTGATTATATAGGGTAATAATCAATAGTCAATAGTGACTAAAAATATGCTCTTTTTTTATATTTATTGTTGTTATGTTATTAAGTTAATCTTGAAACTAATTCCTCTTATAACAATCTAAAGGAAGCATCCTCCATATTAATATGGTGCATTGAAGGAAATTAATTTTCTTAGATATTGGTTCCAAAACTTGAATTCTAAACTTAACTTACAAGATAATATTTTTATTAAGGGATTCAACTTTAGAATTATAAATATACTTTTTTATTTCTAAAAGGAAAAAATCTTAACTAATAAGTTTTTTTTTTTTTTAACGTTAGATAAGATATACAATAAAAAATAATTCTCTCTTTTTTAAACTCTTTCTCTTCAATCTTAAAATTCAAGTTTAAAATCTTAAATAAAAAAAATTCAAATTTTTAACCACATCCATGAGAATTGAATGAAATATATTTGAATGTTCAAAATAAAAGTTTTTTTAAGTGTCATATTAAAGTAATATTTTGTACTAATTTATATATATCAAATTAAATTTATCTCTCTGGTTTCCTAATAGACACATCTTTTTACTACTTGACTATTATAAAGGAAATGTTTTGAGCTCTTAAAAAGACAATTCCCGAAATGTTTTGACCGTAGAGCATCTCCGATATTCTTAGCATGCTTGATGCAATAAAATTAACCAAATTTCTTTGACTTTTCGAGTTCCCTACAGGTTTCAAAGGGGGGGTTCCCCATGGATAATTTGACAATGATAGCATTTAAAACAATACCGTTTCAACTATGGCGGGTCAATTAATATATATTCCTTGTTATAACATAATAAATATTTTTTATTTTATTTTTAATTAAAAATTTAAAGATAATTTTTATTTTTAACTTTTTATTTTTCAAAAAAATAAATATAAAGAAATTTTTTATTATGAAGTGGATAATTAAAATTTGAGAAATAATAATAAAGTTAAAGAAAGAAGTATTTATTTTCTTAAAAATATAAAAAACGCTACAGTACATATTACTATAAGATAAATTTTAAATAAAAAGAATTCTTAAAAATATCTCTTATTACAAAAATCATATCTAAAAATTAATAATATATATTTAATTTAAAAGAAGGAAGATGTTTTTTTTTTTGTCGGTTAAATTAAAATCTTCTCTTTCTTCTTTTCTCTTTCTTTCATTTTCATCAAATATTAGGTGATAATAGCATAAACAAATTTTTATATAAAAAATTAATTATACATTAACACAATATTTCGCCTTATGGTATCGATATTATTATTATTATTATTTTTGGGGGATTTCTTTACGCAAGAAAAGATAGGTCATAGGGGCGCTCTCTGGTTCGTGAATAAGAAGGCGAGAGCTGCGCTACCCCTGCACTGGCCGAACGCACTCCTCACACATACTATACTTCCTCTTTTTATTTATCTTTAAAAGATCACGCATCAAGGAAGAATAGGCGAATATAAAAATGGGTTCTGCGGAGGTCGACAACGGAGCTGCTTCTACTCCTCTAAAGCTTTCTCCTTTCTCCTTCCCGACCAGCAACGCAAAATTAGGGACGCCGCCGCCACTTCGTTCCACTACTATTTCAATTCCGTTTCAGTGGGAGGAAGCGCCGGGAAAGCCAAGACCCTGTGATGGTGAGGGGAAGGCTGGCGGCAGTGATGCTGTGAGATGCTTGGAGTTGCCTCCAAGGTTGTTGCAATTGTCTGAGGATAAGGCTATGCCGTCCCCGATGACTGTGTTGGACGGGTCTACCGTTGGTCGGTCCTTGTCGTTAAGGAAAGGAAAGTCGTTTAGGAGTTCGGAGAAGGTTTTGTTTGGGTCTAGTAGGTGGGGAAGTTTTAGGAAGATGAGTGAAGAGGTTGCCGCCGACAATGGTTTTGAGCTTTCATCTAAGGCCACTATTGATGGCGACGATGGTTGTGGCGGTGGTTCTGGCGGAGGTGGTGGCTCTGGCGGAGGTGGTGACCGTACCAAGGTGAAAATGACAAGAGGTAGGAGGAAAGGGAGATTACTGGGTCTTTCTCATGCTCGAACGTCACATGTGTTGGTATGTATTCGAAAATAATATGTTCTTGAATATTATAGCCTTTAATTAAATCATGCATGTTCTCTTTTTTAGAAAGAACAAAATTCTTACTTGTAAAATTAGTATAATTTTTGTCTGTCTAATATCAATATTGCAAGTATTTTTCTCTTGCAAAAAAAGGATAAAATTAAAAAATTAAAAAGTTAGGTTATTTAAGCACAATCATATGATAGATGTACATTAACTGAGTTTTACCTATTTTATGTTTGTAATTAGACACCCTAACTTTAGTATTAATATGTCTTGGGTTTTTAAATTTTTTAAAAAAAACTACAAATATTGTTTCTATTAATTTTGTGAATAATTAATTACTTTTTAATTATTTTCTAGTTTTAGCATTGGAAAAATATTACTCAAATTTGTACTAGGAGTTCCACTTACGTTTCAGCCGTTACTTAATTAATTAGTACTAGTAATTTTTTTGGTTTTTTTAACATTGGGAAATTTGGAGAATGGGGAATATTTTTCCAAGGAGTTGGTGAGATTTAAACTCTTAACCAACTAAAACCAAACATTTAAGGTTTGAAAGTCAATAACTGAATTTTTGTTTTGACCAATTTAGTAGAAGTATTAGATGCATGAATGATGAATTACGTTAAATCCATTTCTAGATTGAAATGATTAATGATTGACCATTTCTATTCACATTAATCCGACCATGAACTCCTACCAAATTAATTTAATGTCATTTAATATGTATCTTGTGTAATTTGAATTATTGACATTCATACGCGTTCTGAAATTATGCAATTTACAATTTCAGGCTAGCATTTATGCAAGTTTGAAGCAGGTGGTCCCATGGAAAAACAGAACCGAGCCTCCTGAATTTCCCAAATAACAAAAACTCACCGGTTTATGCAAAGAAGAAAGAAAAAAAATTTTTTCTTAACTTGGTGGTAATCTCTTTTGATTAAAATATAATTAAATGATGTTCAAGTAGTAAAATTAAATGATATTAAATTTAAAGTGTGAGTATGGGAGTGAGATGTGTAAGAGTAAGAGCAATACTGTTTACATTTTTTTACATGTAATCACTAGGAATTAATTGAACATCGACTGATGGTTGATATATAGTATAAGTGACCTTCTTATCAATGTCTATTTGGGTCACCATATATAACTGGTTGGATGATCATGAAATTACCAAAAAAAAAGGCTGATTTATCTCATTAGTACTTTTCTACCATAATGTGCTTTATTGTAGTGTGGTCTGTTGCGTGTATATCAAGAAGGAAATATTACACATGACTAAAATATTGGGTTGACAATAGAGTCAAGTAGTAGTAGAAGCAGCCAAACACATCCTTTTCTTGTAATTGGCCTTGAAACAAGCCTGTCTCAACTTTTTTGTTTTCTCACTCAGCACCATGTCTGGCACTTGTTCGAGAATCCGCTTGTGCTCCTCCAACTTCACTATCTCTCCAGCCAATCCCATCTCCTAAATTCAACATTACAAAAAAAATTCAATTTTTAAAGTACGTCAGAGCCCACATTCATCACACATATATACATGTTTTCAATTTAGTATCAGATTTTAAGAATTTATCCTTTCCATACTTAATTATACTTACAAACAGATTCAACATCAAATTTGAGTACAAGACCACCTAATTAGTTTGAAGTTTTTATGATCAATTTTCAGAATTTAAATGTTGAAAGTCATGAGAAATATTAAGACTGTTTCATGTTATATAGCTTATTATCATGATCTTCCTGTGTGAATTAGAGTTTTGTACCTTAGCGAAGTATTACGTGCACAAATGTAATATAATATACCTTAACGTTGTGGATTAGAGTTTTTAAGCTCTTGATCTTCCTGTGTGGCCATCTCATGATATTGAGTTCCCTGCATCTTCTCTTCAACAGCGTAAGCCCTACATTCATCTCCTTCGCAGCTCTACAAATCGGAACATCAAAGTACTTCTGAATCTCTTCCAATTCCAGTTGACCAGCCCTCCTCCTCCCAGTACTCCCCCTCCTCTCCTCTTCCTTCTCCCTCCAACTCGAACCACTACTTCCGATAGCAGTTTCAGTGTGCCCTGAATCATCCGAAACAGAACTCCTCAACGGCTTTACGTTGATCGCCATATCTTCGTAAACAAGCGGCGGTGGTGGTAAGGGTGGCAGCGGCTGAGTAGCCTCGTTGAATGAGAAAAACTCATCGGAAACAATATCAAAACCCTCGAACACAGAATTGAAGCTACAGAACTCGGAGAAGCAAAGAGGTGGCAACTCTGAAATCCTGCGGTAGTGAAGACAAAGAAAATTAAAGACCCAGAATCAAAGAAATGGCAAAGAAAGTAACATCAAACAAATGTTCAGATTAACTTGAATTCAGTATCTTACTCAGCGAATGGGTCTTGGTCGATGTAATGGCAGTTGAATACACTTGGTGTTTGGAAGGGAGAATCCATGGAGGGAGAGATGTCGGTGGTGAGGGCTGAGGAGGGAAAAGAAGGTATAAATTGGAGAAAAAGATGGATTGGAGTTCGTGCAGCGTCAATATTTGTGGAAGTTACTAAATATGGGATTTATTAAGCAACGATTACCAATTAGTGGGATAATTAGATGCACGATCAATTTTAATTGTCTCTAATTTCGAGATTTTGGGGGATTTAATGTTGCAAGTTTCAAGTCATCATCTCTTGTTCATGGGACGGTGAATTTTGTTTTCTTTGGAAAAAATGAGATGGTTGTCCCATTTTCCAACCTGGAATCATGTAAAAGCAATATTAGAAGACTAATTAATTCTTCTTTCTATCATGATCCACCAAAAAATTGTACTACTTTATTCCTTTTAGGGTTAGGAGAATTATTAGCATACTTTTGATTTAATATACTTTTTAATACTTGTCTGATTTAAAATTTTAAAATATAATATAAATATAATTAATTCAATCAATTACATATAATCGTATTCAATACTTAAATTAAAATAATCCACGGTATAATATCAAAGTTGAATTTACCAATAAATAAATGTTATTTTATAAACTATATTCCGGGTTCAAAGCTTGGGGTTGTCACTAAAGAAATTAATTTTTTTGATCGCACCAACTGATGTGGCGAATATGCTCTTGAAATTGCTTAAAGAATGATTAATCTTAAGGTGCGGGAAAATTGGTCTAAGGATACCTTGACAATAAATAAAAAAATAAAAAGTTTACAAGATATTAGTGATGAAATTAATGTTAACTTTTGTAGTTTTTAATATTAATTAATGTAAAAAAATACAATAATTACATCTAAAGATACTAGTTAAAAAAAAAAAAAAAAAACCCTCCATTTTACTAGAGTGCTTGTCACTTTTTCTTCTGAGTTACAATCTACTTCTACATTTGGCTTTGATGTCACTACTAAAATCCTCCTTTTTAGCAACATGAGAGCATGTCGATGAAAGTGCATCCAATGTTGCTGAAAGTACTTCAACTTTTCAACAACAAGATCTATGTTGCTGATGTTTTTGTTAGAGAAGCTTTGGTCGGTAATGGAAAATGATGTGTGCACACCCGGATTCAACATCCAGGTGTGCATACTCTGCATAAAAAAAAAATGGGAACACCTAGTCCTTTTTTTTTTTTTATGTGGAGGGTGCACACTCGGGTATTGAATTCGAGTGTGCACCAATCATGGTCCGTCGGTAATACATCAGCAACAAACTCCAAGTTGTTGATTCATGGCAATTTTTCAGCAACAATCAACAATATACCCCTTGTTGCTGAAAGTAGAGTTTTACTAACGTAGTTTATGTTGTAAAAAATTTACTAGAGCCGGTTACTAGAATTGTCCACCCTTTTTAGCAGCATATTTCTTATTGCAGAAAGTATCCCTTCACCGACATGGTTTATGTTGTTAAAAATAGTCATCGGAATTATGCACCTTTTTTAGCAACATAAGCCACGTTGGTGAAAGCAATGAAAGTATGCTTTCACTGACATGGGTTATGTTGCTAAAAATTGTTGCCAAAACTGGTGACTAGAATGTGGTACCTTTTCAGCAACATATCCCTTATTGCTAATAATTCTATGAACAGTATAGCACCTTCTTTTTAGCAATATGGTCTTTGTTGCTAATAATTTTATGAAGGCCCACCCCATTTTTAGCAACGTGTCCCTTGTTGCTGAGTACTTTGTGAATAGTATAGCCCACCCTTTTTTCAACAACTTATCTCTTGTTGTTGATTGTTTTGTGAATAGTAGTAGATCATCCTTCTAGACCTGGCAAACGAACAGGTTGCGTCGGATTCGGGTTGCCTAAACTCTGGTAACAGGTTATACAGGTTGGGTTATGAACAGATTGTGAGTTGAAAAAATCTAACCCTAACCCGACCCTAACGGATTACGGGTTAACCTGCGGGTTGACCTTATTTTCATTCTTTATAATTACTTTTTATTAATTTTGTTATATACAATAAAATTATATATATATCTAAATCTGATTAAAGTATTGTGATTCATTAAAACTAAGTAATTTATAATCTCAACCACAAACAATTAAATTAAGAAAAAAATCATAAAGTTATAAATAATAATAAGTTGATTATAATAACAATATTAAACATAAAATATTTAAATTTCTTGGAAAATAAAGTTTTAATTTTATAATCATCTTGAAACATTATCAAGTAGTTTAAGCCATTTTTTTAATGATGAAATTATTCTTCCAAGAACATCTTTCACTAAATAATTATGTTTATGTCCTAGCATCACATCTTCTAATATTTTGCGTTGCATTATCATTGCATTCATGATACTTAGGTAATTGTTAATAGAAAAAAAAAATGATACTTGGATAATTAAATCAAACTCATCATAATTTCTTCGTCTTTCTCTAGAAATTAGGGAGTATGAATTAATAAAAGGAGTTATCAATAGGAAAATTAATTAAGAATAATAAGTACAATATTTAAAAATAATAATAATAAATAAAACAAACGGTTCAATTCGTCAACCCATAGGTTAATCTTAACCCAACCCATGACCCACACGAGTTGATAATATGAGTTATTTACGAGTTGCAGATTGGGATATGTAGACCATAACCTGTTTTTACGAGTTGGGTTAAGGTCGAGTTGACCGGTCAAGTTGACAGATCGGGTGGATATTTGCTAGATCTACATCCTTCTTTCAACAACATATCCTTTGTTATTGATTGTCTGGTAAACACTCACCTCATTCCAATTAGCAAGATATGTCACGTCGATGATGCTCAAATGCCAATTTTTGGAATTATTTCACTAACAAGTGATATGTTGCTATACTATTTTTTCTTTTTAAAAAATTCATAAATTTTCTCTACTAATATTATAAATACATATTTCTCAATTTCATTAATATTTACAAATAATTTAAATGATTTATTTTTATACTAATATTATAAAATTTAACAATTATATATTATTTAATTATAAAATCTATTTTTGTAATTATAATCACTAAATAATAAATTTCATTAAATATAATAAATTATACTTATACTATCATTATAAAATTTAACAATTATGTATTATTTAATTATAAAATCCATTTTTGTAATTATAATAACTAAATAATAA